GAAGAGATATAGGCATTTTATTAACACTTTCTCAGGTGCCACCTTCAATGCTACCGTAAGCTCAAGTTTGCCCATTAACATATGAATTTTTTTGCAGAGGTCGATCCAACTGGATCTCCTCATTCAGAAAAATATATATTTTGTTGAGAGATTTTGTCATTCTGAGCAGACACACCATATCCAGAATTTGCATAAATCCATTTTGATGCAAATTTCTACGTTCCTCACACGGACTTGAATGGCCGAAGATAGAATATGGGATAACTCCATTTGTATGAGGAACACAAAAGAAGTGATTCTTTTTGGTTTTGCATTGATAATTTTACGTTCGTGTGCATAACATGATAATTTTGAAGACGTTTGAATAGTAAGATAATATTACCGCAATGATCAAACCAACTGATTGATTGATCATTTTGAGTATTGGACCGTTGTGGAGCGGCTTATTGGTTAGTTAATTCAGACGGTTCGCTACTTTAGGAGTTCAGTAACTACTTGTTGAACCAATGCTGCGCAGAAATTTTTCCAGACAGCATCAGATGAAATTGCCGATGCTGAATTGCGGAGATATATAAAAATATTGTTGTATTTGTTGCATGCCTTTGGCGGCTCAGCACTTGCGGATCGCTAGAGCGGACTTCCTCCGGACTATAATTAAATTGGTTCATTGTGAATGAATGTTGTGTAGCTTTATTGCGTCACACATCACATTTTCTCCTAATGTCATTTTTCCTTTGCAGGTTGACATTCAGTTGAGATTGTGGCTTTCAGAAGAATGTTACCGAAGCTTTTAATTAAGAATAAGCATTTTATGATCGCAAGTGAATGCAATCCATTGAGTTTAACAACTTTTTGCTGGAGGAGGTGTTTATTCAACACAAGGTAAGTGACCGTTCTCGCAGTCTATCGTCCCAGTCAATTCATCCCGGCATATGAACATATGAACATTCCCACACATATAATGCATTTCTGTTTGGAAGAAAATTAGGAGGATAGGATATGAGTATACGAGTGCATGGGCAATGGCTGATGATGTCAAAGAGTCCTCCTAATTGTTTCTCCACAAACACTAGCATATATGTTTATTAAGGATATCAACACTACCGAAGCCATCGTGGCAGAGTCCAACTGGTGTTCAGAAGCGATCACCGAATGAGGCGAAAAGCGCGGAATCCGCACAATTGGCTGAATATGCACGACTGCATTGGGATGACAGAGTGACATGCAATGATCCTTTGGTGAATTAATGCATGATCACTTCAATTGATGATACATTCTGTGGAACACACTCCTAGACGAGGAGTGACAATACTTCTGTCAGACAATACTTCTAGACGAGGGAAGCAACAGCTTAAGTTTCAGCTCGATTAGCAAACGCATTCCAATCATTAAAGAGTTCAGTGGATTCAATCAGGCATTGCATGTGAACGATATGCATTGTTGTTTGAGGTTGTTCGATTACGTGACGGAATTTTATCCGGTTCACGTTCGGCATTAGCCGCTGGCATCACACTCGTCGAATCAACACACCCGACAAAACGGGCACAAGGAAGTTACCTACTGGCTGCTGTTCTGGAGGCTCAAAAGAAACGCTTCGAGGAAAAAGGACCAGCGTCGTTGATCTTTCGTATAGGTTTGATCACCGTTTAGAACATGGCTTATCTGCTTTGCGAATATTTACTTGAAAATGCTCAAAAATCTTCTGGAATGAAAAAATAACTCAACAGAACCGGTTACGATTGTGAACTTGAGAGGCTGTAAGGAGAGGACGCCGCAAATGCAAAAGTCCTCGAAAAGCAATACCACTCCATAAACCATCTAACAAAATGGACTGACTCGGCTGCTAATTTCATCAGCAGTTTAATTGCTACACTTTATAAACGTTGTGTCTTTATACAGGTGTGTCAGGCAGTCCTGGAGTGGGAAAATCGTCGTTCATTGAAGCGCTCGGTACTCAACTTACTCAGAACCAGAACAAAAAGATTGCTGTTCTCACTGTTGATCCATCTTCAGCAACTACCGGAGGTAAGTGCGCATCAGAATGATTCACAAAATCAATTCATGATACCCAAGTCTGAATGACACTAAACTTAAATGGATCACATTTCGATGATTATT